CTCTAGGCCTATCTGTGTTCTCACAAATGGCAAGACCTCATCATTTTTATGGCTGAGTAATATTCCATCACTCACACACACACACACACACACACACACACACACACACACACACACACACACACAATCTTCTTTATTTATCCATCGATGGACACTGGGTTACTTCCCTATCTTAGCTGTTGGGAATAATGCTGCAATAAACATAGAGGGTGTGTATATCTTTTTGAACTGGAGTTTTCACTTTTGTTGGGTAAATATGGACAGAAGTGGAATTATTGCACCATACGGTATTTAGATAGGCAACAGACACATGAAAAGATGCTCAATCATCACTGATCACCAGGGAAATGTGAAAGCAGAACCACAATGAGGTACCAACTCACACCTGTCAGAATGGCTAGAAACAAAAAAAGATAAGAAATAACAAGTGGTGGTGAGGATATGGAGAAATTGGAACCCTCACGCACTGTTGGCGGGAACGTAACTGGTGTAGCCATCTGCAAAACAGTATGGCAGTTCCTCAAAAAACTAAAAATGGAAGTATCCATCAGCCTTCTTAATGCCTAGAAGGGAATGAAGTATGACAACCCGATCAATTACTCAGTAATTACCAACACAAACAAACCCTACTCTGGTCAGTTCAGCCATGTATAATAACTAACCTAGTTCTATTCATCCCTTGTAAATAAATAAGATGGCATTACAGGAGTCACTATTACAGGCCATTAGAGGCTGGGTAGCAGATAAGTATCTCCTGTTCTTTTTAACACATGGGAAGCATAAATAGGACTTCTAAAAATAATACCTTCTCTTTACGCAACTTGTATTGTGAGGCGGTTGCTATGTGGTTATCATCTCCAGAGGCAGGTATTATGAGCGTCCACTTACAGATGAGGTGTCTGAGGCTCAGAAAGGTTAAGTTACCTGCACAGGATCACACAGCCGGTAGCTGGTCAAACTAGAGTGCTAAATCACATCTGCCTAATGTCAAGGCCCATGCTTTTCCAGCTCATGGTGGTAGCTTTCACAAAGCTAATCTGAGCACCTGCTGCATCACTGTGGCAGAATTCAGAGAGCTGGGCCATGATGGTTATCCCCGAGGAATTCAGAGAAGGAATACAGAAGTATTAAAGTCCAGGCGGCATGTGTATGTGGGGGAAAGGGATGTGAGAAACATGGAGGGAACTCATTCCCTCTGTACAAAGCCCCTCCCTCTCTGTTCCAAGGCTTCAACTGCAACTAGGCAGGAAGAATGGACTTACAAATAGTTTCTTTACTCTTAATAGGGGCCTGTCCTTTCTAGAAAGCCAAAGCACTAACGAGAGGCTTCTAGAATATTCTCCCACTGATTCTTGCAATGGCTGTGCTCCTATTTTCTTGAATGTTATTCAGCCATCATCATTCATACAGATATAATTTTTTTTAATTTCTCCTTGCAAACTTACAAACGGTGTGAGTCCTGTTAATTCCAGGTTCAAAGAACTCTCTGACTGAGGCATGTTCCCAGAGCTCATCACATTCAGTTTCGGGCCCCCCGAAGAAAAGAAAGCTCTTTGAAACTGCAAGTATCACAGTGTTATATATAAAACAAATACAATGCCTTAAAAACACACAGTACTTTTCAATTTACAATGCAGTTTTGACTTATCCTCACAACAAACTTGTGAGGTTTTATCATCCCTTTTTTTACAAAGGAGAAAAGGGGCTCAGAGAGTCAGCGTGACTCCCCCCCAAAGCCACACAGTGTATAAAGCAGAGTGGGGCACAGACCTGGGTCTCCTGACTTCACAGGCCCGTGCTTTTTTTCCACTAGATAAATCGTCACACTCATTATTATCAGTCCTGAAAAGAGGCAGGGGCAGTACATAGCGTGGGTGACGCGTTCTTAAAAATCTCCAAGCCAAGCAACTCCACCTTGTTCTGGTGACTGTCCTGGGAACTCATATTCCAAATGACTGGCCTCCTTCCATCTGCTAAGTCACGGCTATGACTTGCTACTTAATTTTGTCCTCCTTTGCTGACGTGGCTGCCTAATGTGGGGGGCCCCCCTGGCTGGGGTGCATGAGGCAGCCCCTGGCTTGCCTCTTCCCTCTTCTTCCCTCCATTTCCCAGCTCCCCAGATGGAACCCGATTGTACTTTCATCTCCCTTTACTCTGCTGCCAACTTCCCCGGGCTCCCCCAGATGCCTCCTTACTTTAAGCAAATGCTTCTGCATTGCTCTGGGAATAGTCTAATCCTTTTCTCCCTTTTTACATGTTAATGCCGTGATTTACAGCAGCAGTGCTGGATAGGAAAAAAATAAATAAGCAAACAAAGAAATTCTTTCTGTTCTACATTTTGCCCGGTAGTCACTGGGAGGGGGCATGAGAGGGACTGGGGTGCTGGTCGTGTTCTAATGCTGGATCTGGGTGCTGCTTACACAGGTGCACTCACCTGAAAAACATTCACTAATCTGTGCACCTATGATTCGTGTGGTCTTCCATACGTATGCTAGGACTCCATTAAAAATTCCAACCACAGGGGGCGCCTGGGTGGCTCTGTCAGTTAAGCGTCCAACTTTGGTTTTGGTCAAGATCTTGCGGTTCGAGAGTTCGAGCCCTGCGTCAGGCCCTGCGCTGACAGCTCAGAGCCTGGAGCCTGTTTCGGATTCTGAGTCTCCGTCTCTCTGTCTGTCCCTCCCCCACTGTGCTCTCTCTTTAAATAAAGAATTAAGCATTGAAAAAAAAATTCCAACAACAGAGTAGGGTGGTGAACTGGGAAACGCTGAATGGCTTTCTGGCAAGCCTGTGTTGAGGGAGTCCCTATAACCAGAAAAGAAGCCACACTCGATTCCTCCAAAATGTCTCGACTCTGAGAGCAAAGGCCTCAGCATGCTTCAGGGACAGCAATTCCAAGGCAGCCCCGAGAAAGGGCTCTTCATAAGAACCTACATACAGCTGGAAAAGAATACAGATCACAGAATACAGATCACCAGCCTGTCTCTGTGAGCAGGCATCTCCTCAACCGTGCAGGACATTTCAGGAAAGCAGGTCCCTAAATCCAGGAGGGACACTGCACGATCCCCTAGATCGCCTATCACATATGTTGGCTGAGAAGGTTGTAACTTCTCCAGAGCCTTTCTCACTTTAAGATTTAAGAGTCAAACCTGTAGATGTCGTGTTCTGCTCCCCAACCTAGCAGGGATCTTAAAATTCATTGACATCTGCCTTAAATCCTCTCAATAAGTAACTTTCAAGGATGGATGTAAATAGATAAATGAACAGTAATTAGCTAACATGCCCATCCTGGAGCAGGCAGTAAGTCTGAAGTGAGTCACTGTTTCCTGGACTTGCCATGTCCTTTCAAATCTCCAGAGACGTGGATATGCTGTTTCTTAGGCAGAACGCTCTTCCTTTTTTAATCTAGAAAAAACCCTTAACCCCCTTTAAGGCAGAGCCTAAAGGCCTCTTCTTCGGTGAGGCATGTCCTGCCTGTCCCACATTGAGCAAGTGGCCCCTGTTCCAGGATCTAGAGTGCTTTGTCTACACATCTACTAGAAGTTACCCCTTTGCACTGCAGTAGGTACTTCGAGTTTTCCCAAGGCAGGCTTGGTTTCTTATTCTCATTTTCCTCCCTAATGCCTGGCCCGGTCCCTGTTACACAAGAGGTGGTCAAAAGCACGTCTGCATGAAGGGGCCACCAAGCTAAGTGATCTTGACATCCACGCATTTATAAAATAAAATAAACCTCTTCTCTGAATGATTGTTTATGACAGCTCTGTTTGTAACAGTCAGAAAGTGGAAACAACCAAAATGTCTCTCAGTAGGTGGATGGTTAAGCAAACCGTGGTACGTCTACACCGAGAAATGCGATTCAGCAATAAAAAGGAACGAACTATTGATTCATGCAACTTGGATGGTCTCAAGGGCATCACTCTAAGTGAGAAAGGTCATACACTGCATGATTCCATTTATGTAACACTCTCAAAATTATAGAACTGTAGAAATGGAGAACAGATTAGGGGTTGTGAAGGGTTAGAGATGGTGGGAGGGAGGGTGGCGGGTGAGACAAAATGGCGGCATGAGGGAGATCTTTGGGTGATGAGATGGGGTCGTTTTGGTTACAGTGGGATTTACATATATCTACACAGGTTTGATAGACTGGATATTTTGATATCCTGGTTTTGATATCATACCACAATTATGTCAGATGTAACCACTGGAGGAAACTCAGTCGAAGGTACATGGTACCTCTCTGTACTATCTTTGCAACTCTTGTGAATCTATAATCATTTCAAAGTAAAGTTCTAACATTTTTTTAAAAACCAGTTCTCTGAGGTTCCTTCTACTGAGTGTCCATCCTTCACCACAACCTTGCATATTTCTTAGTATTTTACAGTTTCAAAATGCCTCCGTGTAGATTGAATCATGCAACTCTATGACATATCTGTTCCTATCCCCATTTTACAGATAAGGAAACCAAGGCTCCATGCTTGTTGAAGAGCACACACTGTGCGGCAAAGCTGGTTCTCCAACCTGACTCAATAAAATTTCTACAGACCTGTTTTCTCATCTGCAAAATAAGGGGATTCGGCAAAGGCAGCTTCTGTAGGTGCATCCGGTTCTAACCTCGTACGATGTGTACTTTTGTGGCCCGGCTGTCCTACCTCTGAGTTAGCATTAAGGGTCTGACAATCCATGGTTGGACTGCAGGCCAGTAACTGGACCTACAGAGAAGACACATCCATCAGAGGACTCAATGCTAGCTAGCTGGTGGCATTTGGATGGAGGCATTAGACTCCCCCAATCCCCACCCTCCCAAGGCTAAGAGTTGTTGAGATGAGAATCCCAGTAGCTCCTGGACTTCCATGTTTCTAGAATGCCCTGCCTCTCTGGTTGGCTTCTGTTCCTCTGCTTTAATTTCCCCCACTCCCCATCTCCTGGGCTTCATTCCGTCACACCCCGCTGACTCTAATTATTGATACTCTGTGCCAAGGAGGTGAGCTGTGAAAATGTCTTACCAGATTAGTGAAGATGTATGTGTAATAGGCCGACACCATCCCGAGTTCAGCTGCCTGCAAAGGGAAGAGAAGGAGATTAGAGAGAAAACAAAAACCCACTAGAAGTGAGTGAGCAGTAGGGGCTCCAAGTGTCCGCCATTTGTCTGACCCCCTTCCCTTCGGTTCTTACATTGCCCCTGACTTGGAGGATGACTTGGTGGAGGGTCTCTCCCCTGCCACCCTGCTCTCCACCCCTGCAGTGACACTCATAGCAGCTGATGTTCTCATGCACAACACATTCCCATGGATATAACCAGATATTATGGAAACCAAAATGACTTTAAGGGAAATGAAGCAAATAATAAAACAGACTAAAATAATTATCTCCTAAACTATTAGCAATAACAATGGCTAACATGTACCCACTCCTTAGTATGGGCCAAGCACTAGAAAGCATTTCGCTTGGGTTAAGTCGATGAGGTAGGCACTATGACTCCTCTCCCACCCCCCACGTTGACAGCCAGGGACATCAAAACACCAAGGGGCTATGGAACTGGTACGAGATCATACATCTCATAAGTGGAAAAAGATGAAATTAAAGCCAGGCAGACTAATTTCAGTCCTTTTAACCAAACTATACTCTCCCCCAGAGGACCGTGATATTGATGGAGGTACTGACAACTCTCAGGGGCCGAGGCAGAGTCAGGAGAGTCTGTGGGTTGTAGGCAATTCTCAAATTAACTCAACCCGATAAATGCGAGCGAACCAGGCTCCTAAGAGTCTTTGAATCTGCAGTAATGTAGGAAACAAGTGAATCATTTGCAAACTTTGGTCCTTTATTAGTAGTAAGGAACAAGCTGCTTGTGACATGCCTCACCCTTGATCAGAGCACACCCGCGTGTCATCGTCCCAGAGTTGGGAGGCTGCGACTCCTGAACAGTCTCCCTTTTGTCTGATCTTTGTAGCCATCACAGGTCCCCCACACCAACCTCCCCCGTCAGTGTGCCCGGCTTTGAGCATGACAGGTGCCACAGAAGCCGACAAGTAGATCAGGTAAATAATGAGCCTGGCTCTCCCCAGGGTCCTCATGCCTTCTGACAGTCAGATTTTCATCATGTATCTTGCAGCCCCAGGGCCACTGGGAAACCGCTTCTGTCGTGACTATGGAGGTGCGTGAGGGGAAAACAAGGGCCAGGGTGATTACATTTTCCTCTTACAAAGTGTTTTTCTCTTGAGGAACTCTGGTAACTTTGTTCTTATAGGAGACCCCACAGACTCCTTTAAGAGCAGGCTGGAGTCCTTCTGTTCCACGATTCCACTGGAGACTGAAGTACAGAAGGGCTCTACGCCAGGGCAAGATGGTGCTGGGGTCGGTCACATGGGGCTCAAGGCCTTGCGTCCTCCTCAACTTCCAAGAGGCTGGTATGGCCTGATGCCCATCCCCCCCCCCCCAACAGTCCATATAAAAGTGCCATTGCTGGTTCATCACTGCCTAGATGGGTGGGAGCCCCCTGGTTGCAGGCATGGGCAGGGGCCAGGGGCTGGGGAGGGGGCACCGTCAGATAGTTAAAACCCATTTGTGAAGTCTGCTACCCAAAGATAAAAGACAAGAGATCCTTGGTTTTTAAGACCTGAATTCTGGGTAAACACGAAGTTTGTTGCCGGAACAGCTGCTCAATAAAGTAGGGGATTACTCTGCAAATCCTTCTGAAATCGAGAGACAGCAAGCAGAGTGTGGCCAAGCTCCAGGGCCAGGCTTGCATGTGCACACCGAGCCTTCCGGAAACTCCCTGTGCTCTCTGCTCACACTGCTTCCCACACTGAATCCATCCTTCATGGAGCCCCACCCCCCAGCCCCCAGGGCTGTGCTATAACCCTGGAGAGGAGCTGCCTGCAGCCCCAGCCCAGACCCGATGCCGGGCATCCCTGCTGGGGGCACTAGGAAGTCAAACGGAAACAAAGAGAACTGGTTTCCGAAGCCTCGCTCGCTCGTCATTGACGGGCTTGGTTCTAAGGTCACAAGGGCTGAGGGCAACAAGTGGTCCCAGGAAAGCCTGCCACTGGTCACCCAGCAGAACCCTTTGCCAATAATCGTCATTACAGGGAGAGTTTTCTTCAAAAGCACGGCCATTGAAAAAAAAAGTGTTGTTAATGAAAATACCCAGTATTAGCAAGAGTACCATAAGATACCTATACACTTATGGGAGTATAAATTGTTATGGCCTTTTTAAAAGGCAATCTGGCAAATCATATCAAAACCCTTAAAAGCATGCATATCTTTAACTCGGTAATTTCACTTCTCGAAATTTATGCTAAGAAAATATTCGTGAGCGTGCATAAAGATTTATGTACAAAGATGCGCATCCCACATTGTTTATTACAGCAAAAGATTGAAAACAACCTGTATCTCCAACAATAAAGGGATGGTTAAATAAATTATGGTATGCCCACATGATAAGAAATGATGTGCCATTAAAACATTTGCAGACAAATACGTAACGACACAAAGCAAATCGCATGGCATATCATTGAGCGGGGAAAAAAGCAGGTTACAGAAGTACATGGGCCATGTGACGATCATTTTGAAAATAAACAAACGTGTCTACAAACGTAGATAGGATAGACCACAAAATTTCACAGTGGCTGTCTCTGGGTGACGGAATGTCTTAACTTTTCCATGTGTCCCTGTAAGATTTTTCTATCAGACCTCAAAGTCAAGGCTTCAAGAAAGAAAGAAGCAGCTATGATGATTTCTATTTGCTTCTATGTGCTTTTCTGTACTTTCTAAAATTTCAACGATAGACATATTATTAGAAAATAAAAGAGCCCGATCACGCATGCTGGGAGCCATAAAGCATTCCGGAGGTTATTACACTATTATTATAAGGGATGCCCCCAAAAGGCTTCAGCCTGGAGGCTGTCCAGGAATGGGCTCTGGCTACTGCAGTGGGGACTGTGCATTGTCCTGATTGCCCTCTGCAAGGGAGGGGACAATTATCTTACTCCCTGCCCCCAGCTTCCCCTAAAACCTAGAGGATTTTTTCCATCCTTGATAACTTCATTGATCATCGGCCCAGACATAAGAAAAGAAATACAGAAAAAAATTCTGTTTGAGTGTGTGTGTGTGTATGCATGTGTGCGTGTGTGTGTGTATGTATGTGTGAGAGTTGGAGTATATGCTCCCAGACAGACATGGGTTTGGAGCTGTGCAAAATTACTATAGCAACGGGCTGAAGGGACAGCCCTCAGTACTCAGAGAACTCATTCAAATCTCTTATTAACTCTGAGACCAAAACTAGCTGAGGAGGGGTGGGCAGGAGAGGGAGAGGGGGAAGGGGAGGAAGAGACAATCAGCTGAGTGTCTGGCGGGCTCCTCACAGCTGGGCAGAGGTTAACAAGGAGCCTCGCTCCCCCAGTGGAAGATGGCAGGTTGAGTTTAAATGTGCAATTAGAGCGGCACTGGAAGAGGCCAGTGTGCCTGGGGGAGCTGCTGGGAGCCACAGGGGAGCCCGCAGCAGGGTCTGTCTGTCTGGGGTTACATGGCTAGCCCAGCCACCAGCCCAGGAACTGGTGGCAGGGGACTCTGAGGCTGCCCAGATGTTTCCAGCTGTTCCCCGGGCACCTGACTTCTCTCTTGGTCTTCCTCTGTCTCTCTCTCGTTCTCAGATGGGCCTCACTCTCAGAGCTCCAGTTTCTCTTACTGTGAGTTCTGATCCAGGGACTGCCACCCTGCCCCTTGTATTCTGAGGAGGGGTAGGTAGAAGAAAGTGCTGATTAGCTGTCAGAGACAATGGGTACCGGCCCGGCTCTGCTCCTCACTGGTGGAGCCTCGGACAAAGCCGTTCCTCTCCCAGAGTCTCAGTGTCTTCATCTGTCGAGGGAAGACAGGATACCGGCCCCACATAGTCATTGAGAGGATTATGCTGGGATATTACACAGCAGCAGTCTGCAAACTAGTACACCGTACGGGGATTACAGAGGACGGTACACACTCACGGGACTGCCCAGCTTGTCAAAATATGGAAATGCTTTTGAACCACTTGGCACATAGCCTCTGCCCCAAGTGCCCTGCCCCCACTGCCCCGGCCCCTCCCGGGAACCCACCAACCCTGGCAGGGTCTTAGCTGGGGGCTGCCCGCCCGGCTGCACCAGGAGTTAATATTTTTATAACGTCATCCTCATTCTGCTTTTTCTTTCAGCTTGCAGGAGCCATCCATTGCAAGTGAAGCACAGGGAAGTCTGCCAGGGTTCGGAGGCCATGACCCAGGGAGAACACCCAAGGCAAAGAGGGAGCAGGGCACCAGCTCAGGAGGAGAGAGGGAGGAGGGAGAAGGATGCTCCCCGCCCACCTCACCCGGCCTGGCTCCCACCTTCAGGAGGATGGTGTGGGACATGGAGGCGTTGGCATGGATGATGATGGTGGCTGTCTTGTCGTCCCGGATCTCCTTGAGGAGCGGGGTGGGGTCCCGGGTGTCATCCAGCATCCGGACGGAGAGTGTGTCCTTGGAGATAAGGAATTGCCGCAGCAGCCTCTCCAGGTTTAAAAGGCCTGGAGGGGAGAGAGGATGAAGCCCCTGAGGGTCCGCCGTGCTGCCTGGGGAGACACTGGAGCAAAAGTGAGACAAGCAAAGACCGGGGCTGGAGGTGGGGTCGTGAGTCCGGCCCTACTGCCGGTGCTGAGCAGGTGTCTCAACCTCTGTGGGCTTCGACAGTCCCTTCTAAAGTAAAAAGAATGCTCCCGAGCCCCTATGGCCTCCCCCAAAGCCCTCAGCAAGGCTCTTCTAAAGAGAGACGGAGGTCCCTCGAATGGGTTGAGGGCCCACTCTCCTTCCCACAGCGCTCGGTAGCGGCCAAGACCAGGGTTCAGAGACCAGCAGGCTTGGTTTCTCCCCCTCACTTGGCCACCCACTCATGAAGTGACCTTTTCATGTGGCCGGGGCTCTTGGCCTCAGTTTCCTCATCTGAAAAACGAAAGGAACAGCAGCCGGCTCCCAGGACGGTGGCGAGGACTAACTGAGATAATCTGTAAAGTGCTTAGGCCCACGCCTCACCCATCATGAACGCCCATGGATGTTCACAGATGTTCCATCTAGCCCTACAAGAGCCCAGCCTTTGTTTTCATGTAGATGCGGGGGAGCCGTTTCCTCAAGATCACAAGGCCCAGTTAACAGGCCTAACAAAACCCTTTGAATTCCTCAGAGCAGGGTGGCTGCATTAAGACCAGGTATCATTATGATGATAAGAGGACAGGCTTTGAACTGCACTCCAGCAGGCAATAACGTGGGCCCAGAACAAAGCGAAAATACGGGATTGTGAGCGAAGGACTCTCCCCACCACCACCTCCCCCCCCTCCCCCCAGCTGTCTGCTGTCTAGGAGCAGGGGTGGGAGGAGGGTTTCTGGAATGTTATCACTGGGACACAAGGGTCTCAATTCAGCGTTGCCTCTGAAAAGGCAGGCCAGGAAGAAGGTGTGTGTGTGAGGGGTGGAGGGTGGGGTCTCCCGGGAAGACAGTGGTCTCAACTCCAATGGAAAGAGAAGCAAAGGCATTCGTTCCCAAAAGCAACGACAAGAGTAACATTTATTGGATCCTGATTCTGTTTCTATTCTGTTCCAGAAAATGGGCTAAATATTCTAAGTGGCTTTTCTAAGTCCTCACCACAATCCTACGATGCGTTTTAATCCCACACACAGAGGGAAACATGAGGCTCTTGGACCCGGCTCCATACCCTGGATGGCAAGGAAGGACTGGCTTTCTAACCAAAGGCCCCTGGGCTCTGCTCTCTGCCCCAGACAGGATGTTCATTGCAGGCCTGTCTTGAACGTGACCCCAGACTCCCCCGGTGCAGATTCCTCACCCTCCCGACCCTCAAAGATCGAAAGGTGAGAGAGAGACCGGGGGGAAGGGGGGGGGGGGGGGGGGGGGGGGGAGGGCTCTGAAGGGCATCTCTTCAACCTCCCTTGATTTGTAGAGATGATGAAACTTGCCTAGTCACACAGGGACGCAGCTGGGACCAGAGTCCCCACTTTGTCATCTCCAGCCAGCCCTCTTCCCATGAGACCGGGTGCCTCTCAGGACACATGCATGCCAGCAGCACACACAGAACCTAGGAGGGGCTCGGGGGCGTGTGTCTTACATCTCTGGACTCGGGGATGAAAGCCCCACACCGGGCATGTTATCTGACAAGGATGAGGTGGCAGGGTGGAGCCCGAGGGCCCGGCGATGAAGCCAGGGGCTCTGGGAAGGTAGTGCCAACCCCCATCCTCCCACCATGGGTCCCAACAAGGCGGTCCGGCAAGCTGGCAGCTGCAGCAGGAAGGGAAAACTTGATTCAAAGAGGGCGGCTCATGGTAAGAGGTCTACCTGGGCTTGTGGCTCAGTCGGTTAAGCCGACTTCAGCTCAGGTCACCATCTCCGGTCCTTCCATGAGTTTGAGCCCATGCCGGGCTCTGGGCTGATGGCTCAGAGCCCCTGAGCCTGCTATTCTGTGTCTCCCTCTCTCTGCCCCTCCCCATTCATGCTCTGTCTCTCTCTGTCTCAAAAAGAAATAAACGTTAAAAAAAAAATTAAAAAAAAAAAAAGAGGCTCCGGAACCAGTGGGCCTCTGCTTCCTTCCCCACAGGTCTGAAGACTTAGAAGGAGACCTTCCACTCCCACTGCTGTCTGTGCCCCCTGCAGCCCCTCACCACCCCCCCCATCAGGAGGGGCTTGACCCTCACCAGCTGTGTGATCTTGAGAAGTCGTCTAACCTCTCTGAGGCTCCGTTCCTCATCTGCAAAATGGGTGTAACAGGGGAGAACTCACTGAGATGCTGGAATGTGTGGTTTCACTGTTCCTTCCGCATTTACTCATCCCCACAACAGCTCAAAGGCAGGTGTGGCTCACTGAGGCAGAATAAAAAGGGACTAAAGTCCAAGCCTGTTCAACCAACATCTGTGCGTCCCAAGAAGCCAGGCAGTGGGCCCATAGGACGTCTGCAGAGAAGAGGTATCATACAAACCCTGCCCTCCGGGAGCTTAGAGCGCAGGGACTTGCAACTAAGTCTATAACAAGGTTCCCACCATACCCATATTTTGTTTGATGGGCTAAATCATCTGGGTTTCCACGGGGCAGCCTCTTTTAGTTGTGTGTGTAAAATGGAGAGAATATTCACCACGCCTTCCTCAGAGGTCGTGAAAACCAAAACCCCACCTGCACAAAGGTCGGAGCACCTGACCCCAAAGACCCTATACAAGGGGGGCAGGAGAGGCCACAGCTGGTGCTCCTGGAATGCTGGCCATCTCTTTGGCTCAAGAAAATATCTGTCTGGGCATGCTATGGGGGAGAGGGCAGCTGGAGGGGTGAGTAAGGGAGTGGAGGCAGAGGGCAAGGCCACCGGTCCTGGGATGTAGCAGGGAGGGTCTCTAGAGTCTGGCTGGGAAAGAGGCCAAATCCCCTGGGATTCCTCGGAGTGGCGGCGCAGTTCAGCGGGACGAGACGGGGAAGCTTGGAGGATGCCACGGGGATTAGGCACAGCATGGAGACGCTTGGCCAGGGCAGCATAGGGGCAGTTCATCCCTTTAAAACTGGCAGGTGCCCTGAGCTTCCAGAGAAGACCTCCTAGACATGAGATAAACTGGGGACCCTGCTTCAATTAATGCCCAGCGTGCCTCACCCGACTGTCCCTGGGGTGCTTTGCTGCCCTTTCAACAAGGAAGCAGCACCCCCCCCCCC